ATTTGTCAGTGCTTTACAGTCTACACGCGACGCAGGAATTCGCACTCGGCTCCTTGCTAATTTGGATCAAGATCCAGATTTGACATTGAAGTCACTTATAGGCGAATTCAAATGTTTGATTGGTTTGAACCGCGACACCGCTATGATTGAGCAGATTCGCCCCACTATTGCCGATACTGTGCATGCTGTGCAAAAAGCAAGAAAGGGTGGCGCGAAAAAGTCGTTCAGCAGAGTGCCGAACAAGCCGCATACACCTTGTTGGTTGTGGGGAGTGGCATTTCGCACGATACTGTCCATTCCAGCGTCATATTTGTGATAAGTGCCATAAACGCGGACAGAAGGAAGACGTTGGTCATCAATCCCGGCCGAGAAACGTGAAGCAGTCCTAGCGAAGGAAGAACTTCAGGAAACCTGACGCAGAATTACCATCGGTGATTGCCACGTTTCACAGCGATTCTAGCATACGCCGCCGATTTAGCACTGCGCTCATCAACAGAATGCCAACCAGGATGCAGTTCGATACGGCGTCAGATATAACGATCATTTTCAAGAACACTTGGAAACACATAAAGAGGCCGAAGTTGGTTAATTTCAACAACGTCGCCCACAACGCATCCGGTGGAGTGCTGAAGCTGGTCGCAGAAATAACTTGCAAAATGGTATTCAACGGAGTGGAACAGGTAGGAACCTGCCGCTTGTCTAATCGACCAAATTTGAACCTCCTTGGAATTGACTGGATGGAAAAGTTACAACTGTTTGGTGTTCCAATGAGTCAGATTTGTAAGAGTCCAAACCGATCCTGTCCATGCATCATTGTCGATAGAAGACATGACAAGAAAGCTAAGGCAGAAGTTTGTTTGAAGATGGTTTCAGTCACTGCACTAAGTTCAAAGCAAAGTAATGCCTTCGCGAACGAACCACGGCTGTCTTCAGAGCAATATGACCGGTACCGTATGAAGTCATAGCAGCAGTTGATCAGGAACTGGACGGACTGGAGCGAGCCGGTGTTATCACATCAGTGGACTACACTTCATGGGCTGCGCCGATCGTGCATCAAGTCATTTTGAGTCAGGAAAAATATTGAATGGTTAGTTCAAAATGCCCAATCTCAATGAAAGAGATCATTCATCTTGAATTGTCAGACACAAATCAATGCCTCCTTTGATTACCAGGGAATGACTTGTGTCACGAGACCATGAGCAACGGTGGATATTTCAATCATGGTAAATTAGCCGTATTGGTATTTATGCAGGTTGTCCGTAAACTCTTCATACATGCTAACTTAATATCTTTTATTAAATCAAGATGAAATTCTAGATTATACATTGCAGACAGCATTTTTGTCGCCACAGTTTAAACATAGGTTTGTCAATGGAAGAACGAGTTGAGCTGGTACTTCTCATTGTAGTTGAAGGATAGTCGTATTGATAGTACACTTCGCGCATGTCACGCTGTCTTATAATGATATAGTCGAGCAGATGAGAGTGGCCACTCCGTGAGTGCATTCAAGTAGCTATATCACTTGCAATTAGTGAAAACCAGGGTGCTGGTGATCGTTGGGTTGTGAGTGGAGCAAGGTGAGAGCGGCCGATCTCCGTTCTCTTTGACTGTATCAATACCATGTGGACTGATTACGTCTGTCCGCACCGTGGCATCAAGTCCAATGGGCGCAATGAAATCACAAAGTAGGAATAGTCGGCCGTTTCTCCGCACAGACCTTATCACGGAGGACAATTGAGTAAAAAACCAGTCCCTCGCGTAATCGGGACAACACAACCCGGGACAGTACGTGGCAAATTGACCTCTTCTTAGTCGTAGGCGAGATGCATTCAATCTTGGGGCAGTGCCAGTCTGCTCTGCCGCTAGCTGGTCATTTAGGCTTTCGGATAGTACAAATTCAACCCCACATTCACGTGGTGCCGTGGCATTTCCCACCTAGTAAAGTGTGATCACCACCTTCTTTTTGTAGCTTGCCTTAATTAGCAAGCGGAGTATCAATGACGACGGCAAGCTAGATCCCGTAGCAACCGAGTTCCATAGTGTCCAGTGCCGTTCGTCGCTGGGGGCGCTCATTCATTTTTCAGTCAGCTAATGTGTACACATTACAAAATCCGATCTTGAGCGCTTTCGGTAGATAAATGTGATTGCACCGGGCTGCCGTTTGGGTGATCAGTTGAGGTGGGGAAGGTGGCGGGTTAGGTGGAATTGGGAATGGGAGTAGAGGGTGTGGCGTGTGCGGGGAAGAAGAAAGAAGGGGAGGTCGGCGTGACAGGATTTCGCTTATCCACTTCGCCATATACAGTAGAAATGGCAACCTTTTACTTATCACCACTGCACGAGGGCCAATGCGGCATTAGTTTAAGGTTAGAATGGTGTACTGTCAGGGCGTCCACGCCTGAACAGGAGCACAACTCTAGTCTTCAGACAGTCTTGGATGTACTTTGCAAGTTAGCTAGAATTGCCCCCTGAGTCAATGGACTTGAACTGATGCGCGTCCATACATGCAAACTACTTGAGATTTTTATACATTTTCCCTTTATTCGTGGTCGTTACATCGGTAAATCCTTTCAGCTACCTGATCATGCCACCACAGGCATGTCTCGCCTAAAACGAGAACACAATTTATTTGTCCGCTTTTATTCAATAAGTATTTCTTGCAAATGTGATCGCCTACTGCGAATGACCGAAAACTGGGCAGTTCACAGACCTTTGCTCCAACTACATGTTTCACGATTTCAGGAGCGCGTTCGATTCATTCGTTCAAACTACTGTTAGGATTACTTTCGCGGAAGGGTGTTCCCACGAACTAGGTGAACATTATACGTGCTCTATACTTGAACACGACAGGTCGCGGCAGGTAAGCTGAGCCAGTGTCCAGAAACCAGGTCACGCACGGGTTTACCGCGGAGCACGTGAGCTGTCTGCTGCATGTGAAGGTCAGCAGGGCGGGCGTGGAACGACATCCGACGGTTTTGCCAAATGTGGGGATCGGTGCAAACTGACGGGCCAGCAACTACAAGCCCCAGTCAACGGAGGCGAACCATTCTGCCAAATATGGAAAATCCGTGGGACGGAATTAACAATGGCTGAGAGCCAAATGCTTCCAAAATTAGTATGTTTCGTCCACCAACAAACGGGACTGACTTATCGTGTAGAATAGACTCCCTGTTTGCCGAGCCTTGGCCTTCTATATCCCGTCGGTTGGTTGGGCGCGTGACTGAGCAATCAGGCGGTCGTAGTCTCGCAGGCACAGAATAGCAGCAGTACAGCAGTACGAAGGCAGCTTTGCAACAGGTAACTCCTCGGATATCTGTCCGACAACAAGTGGCGTTCGTCACGGTTGCTCAATTTCGTCGTGGTCTCCATCATAGATTGTTCCTTTGCGATGCCTCACGATGCAGGCGTTAAGGTTCCGTCAGGAGAAAAATTGCTCTTGATTCTGCGAACGATATTGTTTTGCTGTTTAACGATTCTGGGGCGTCGCAATGAATCCTTAATACCCTCTCTAGAATGGTCCCATTATTTCGTAGGAGCTTTGCACCGTCAAAATGCACATTGTAGTTACAGGACCACCAGCCACTTGATGATCCCTTAACCGTAGATAGCGAGGTACCCGAGGTAGTTGATCAATTCACTCTGCATAAACACTGAAGTCAGTACGCGTGTTGCAAAAGTCAGAACTGACCTTTGTGTCAGCGACATCCTTGGCGACAGAAAGAAGTTTTCCTCCGTCTGAAAGGCCGTGTTTACAAATCCACAGTGAGGGTCATTCTCGTCTGTGGTTGTGAATCTTGGTCTCTTCGATCTGAGGTGACTTCCAGTCTTCAGTCATCACTCTCGGCGAAGCATTGCTGGTGTCAGGTGGCAGCAACTTGTCCTCAACCATAATGTGTGTAGATGAGTTCTGGGCAGTGATAATCAAGCTAGTTGTTCAGCTCAACAGATGCCACTGAAAAAGTTGCTTTGGCTTGGGTACGAACTACACATGCCCGGTCGCCGCTTACCTAACAGGACCTTGTTTTTTCTGCCAGATACGGAGGGGAGAGGGAGAAACAAGGGTTGAGTGGAGAAAAAGTGTATTAGCAACGGGAAATGAAGTCACTAACGATCGAACTCGGTGCTGTCGGTCGGTCTCGCTTTTCAGACTGGATATGTTACAGGACATATCTCGCAATCTTCACTCGTAGCGCGTTTGCTGCCGTCTCCTACTCGGACTGCCCGTTTAAAGTGTTTTTGGTGCCGAGTTATCTGCGGAGTGATGGCTGATTATGACTCGGGAAGTGAAAACCACCAAGAAGCTGTCTCGCCGAAGTCGCCATATTTTTACGTGACGGCCAGCTGCTTGCGACCGTAGCTTGTTGATACGAGGTGTAGACGCCTTGACCCGGAATGTTTGCTTAGAGTACTGACATTTTCCGGTAAGTTTTCTTTTACTTCCTCTTATTATTTTCGTAGATCATTGTGGTCGTATGGCAACGAAGCATCAGAGCAGATGGCCGATTAATTTTGGATGTTTGTGAGTAGTGTAAAGTTGGTAGAAAATAGAAGTCACGATTAAAATTCACGCACAATGGCTGATGTAATGCTGCTGGTGATGGTGAGGAATTATGTATGCTAATTTTCCCCTGGCTATCTTTCTTTCGCTCTCTGCTCACATTAGCTCAACCTTATCAATAGCGGTTTTACTGGTGCCGACCAGAATCATTGCGACTGGATCCACTGCGCTTCTGTACCCAAATCACAGTTGTGTAATTGAAGCGCTGTGTTTTCTGAACTCCCCACATGATCTTGGTCTTTCACTATTTACCTGAGTACTAGTAACCAAAGTTAGTCGGGCTTATCATGAGTCTTTCTGCGCGGCATAAGAGAGTCTGCGATCAAATCAGGTCATTCCAAATGATCACAGTGAATCCCTTAGTGAACCAGAATTTAGGATTGAATCGCTCCACTGTATTGATCAATGGCCCAGCTATATGCGACACATGAATGAGAATAGTTTAACTATTTAACACAGTATATTATATTATGTAAAATCGGGGTACCCTGGTGGCTAAAAGTTAAGGGAGATCTTGAGCTGCAACAGTAAGTGGTCGCAGATTTCACGAGCCATTCCTTGTAAATGTCGAATTGCCTTAGGTACTGACCTTTTGCGCTCCCAGGGACTCAGCAACAGCAAATCCTTCAAGTCGCATATCGGGATAGAGACGACGCTTGAATTCACGACGTCGCATTCGAGTAACCTGTAAATTCGCTTGCAGCACACGTCTAGCGTTCTTTGCCTTGGAATCTAGCTGAGCTTGTGCCTCAAGCACGCGGCCTAACTCTTCCTGCAGTGATTTCTCCGCCATTCCATTAGGCTGAAGGGTAGAATTGTGACAGCAGAGATTATTCTAGATAGATGTTGGTATTTGGGGTTGGTGCTACGCATAGGTTACTAAATTAATGTACACATATTCTTTCCTTGAAATTGAAGGTCTCTTAACGAGGTACTCAAAGAGCTACGGAAGACGGCGGAACATAGTCTAAAAGCTTGGCTACACCATGCCGGAGATTTATCCAGGTTTATTTAAGCACTTTTCCAATGCATATGACTTCCTAATTAGAATTGCGTACTGAATACGCTTAGTCGGGTCATGATCACACACACGGTGTCACTACAGAGTCTCTCAACTGCAACGAAATTCTTCAACCGCCCACACAAATTTCAAGTTAAGCCAGAATATTCTGCTGTCGTACATACGTTTAGGTATTTGGTGTAAATGATAAAACCAAAAAAGGAATAGTCACAAAATTGCCGTTTAAAAAACTTAAACACGACTATCGTCGATGAGTAAAGTTATCACTCCCTTTTCTGGTTGGTAATGCTCTGATCCACACAAATGTGCATCAGTTAAGCGATACGCATCAAATCTTATTCCCGTGTGTAAACTTTACTAGTTTTGGACGTTCTTCTACTCAAGGGTGTGCGTTTCCACCAGGTGTTGCACATTGTAGGAAGAGGATGGTATCGGTGCGTATTTGTGATTCATTTTCTAGAAGAAAATTATTCGGGAATACGTAGGCGAAATAGTCAACCTTTGAGTAAGATCATCACCACGTCGGGACGTAGATGCCATTGATATGCGAATTATCTAGTTTCCCTCAATCTGTTGTCTAAACCTATGTTAATTCGTTTTATGGGAACACACGCTCATACAAGATCTCGCAAGCCGCGTCCATGCATGTCACGTTCACGCTTTCTCGGCGTTAGATTCAAACAGTCGCTGTGCATGTGATCTCAGATGTTCCGCTAGCTTATGCATTGGACCAAGCAAGCATTGCCAATCGGGGTGGTTCTATGTTGCTCCTCCCAACCCTGACACCCCATAAACGGTTTCGTCCTCCTTTGGACTCAGCAGATATAGATAGCCTGAGCTAGGGTGGAACTCAGCGTCTAGTGGTTAAAAGCTAACACCTTGGTCCCAATGGCTCTAAGATCCGTAAGCAACGCTTGGCACATCGGTAAAGAACACAAAGTTTGACTTGCAATATTCGCTTGGTGGTTGGATTTCGACACGCAATCTTTAATCAGATCGCGAAATATGAAATGCACAGATATCGCCAGCCTTGGTATATAATCTAGGCTACACAAACATCTTTCCAGCACTTGCCAGGTCGTAAAAGTACCTCTTCCTATTTGTTCGGGTGCATCGTGGGGTTACTCTTCGTCTCGTTTGTGCGCCGTTCAAAAAGCAAAGGTCATGCCGTTCGTTCCGACTAGAACAGTCGTTACAGCCAGGTTGAAATAACAAAGTAGTAGACAGCTTTGATGTAAGGAAAGCTAAAAGGTAGTGAAAAAGGTTTTCTTTACAATTAACCTTACATTAATCAAAGTTCTACAAGGTTTCACAAGCGATTGTCAAAGCTTAGCCTCATCACTCTTCGGGAACTTCAGGTAATTGACTCTTTACGTGCATTATACAATTATGTTATTGTGTATACTCAAACTGAATTGTAATGCTGCTCGCATTTACCTTAGAGGACTCATCATTTGTTCGGTGAGTAACCCGCATGCAATGATTCCTCACGATCTTCTGTTGAGCTGCAGCCAAACAAGCCAATCGCTGTTGTTCGGAGAGAGAGAAATAAGTAATTGTCTCACCCCCCCATATAAGATGCCTACCTGTACATTCATCTGTTCTGCTGAATCGCTCATCAGCGTGTCATGAACTGCATCTTTAGTGGAGCGTAAGAACCTAGCGATTCGCGTGAACATTGAATCAAGGCGATTGCGCAGCACCATTGCGTGTTCACATGCCTCATCGATGGATCGCATCACGAGATTTGGTTCCCATAACATCTGTTCTGTTTTACTCATTGACGATGATGGTTGCTCCTAAGGAAGAGATGTGTAGGGGATAGCTGAAACACACCAAAAACTCACCGGCACTTTTACAATTGGTCCCTTAAGCGTCGCTTTCAGCTTCCTTTTAGCTGTGTTCAGTGACTTTCTGTACAATTGAACTATGCCCAATAAACGATGTTGTGCCTGAGACAACTCCTAAGCATGCCGCATAGACATTTAAAGTGGCAAAAATGTCTAACCCCAATAACAGTTACTAATTGGCCAAGATGTACTTCCAGCGTCCATTTTACATTTTTCAAGGCTTTGCTCTCCGCCTTCATGATTTCACCAACATCATCGGGGCCCTGTTCTGAAATCTCAGAAGCCGACGAACACACTCACCTTTTGCGCCTGCGATCGTTCTCGGATCGTTAGTCCGAGCACATTTAATTTCACATCACTGCGTATATCAAACAGTACCCTTTCTATCAGTCGCCGGTAACGAAACAGTTTTGCCAGAATCAATTGTGTCGACCTGAGTATGTCGAGAAATTTCGACTGAACAAGCTGAAGACTTTTCGTGCGGATAAAAGTAAGATGGTGAGATTCAGGACGGGGTGAGAGTTGAGCACATTTTTCGCATGCATTTACAGCGTGCGTCATAGATTCCATCAATTTGTGTAGGTGTTCAATGAGATAGTTGAATGATTGAACTGGAGAAATTGGTTTGGCGGAAGTGTTTGTCGTTGTGCAACGCAGGCAGTCCGGATCGTCTTTCATTCTCTCGGATTGCGGTGAAGCTCTGTAAGCTGAGAAACAAGGTGCCATAGGTGAAACAAAACGACGTGGATTTCTGGTAGTTATTGGTTGCATGAGTTTATAACAACTGTAGTTGTGATGCTAATTAACAAGTTGGGACAGCACGAGGTTTGTGAATCAATTACTGTAAGATACAAGATTCACTGTAAGCCGTACATTTACCACGTAATTCGCAAGGCGGATGAGGCGAGGTACCTCTGGATTCCCACCGAGTATTGCTTTTTACCCACCCTATGACCCATGGTTACTTGACCTCCCGACCTAAGCGTTATATAATCCGCAAGCTGATTAACATGGTCTAATCTATCCGCTCATCCAGTTTATGTGCCATGGTTACATGTCAAACGACATAACTACCAGGTCATTAGCAAGCCACATACCGGGATCTCAGTCGGGATGACCAAAGCAGACGCCTGCATCAATTGACGAACGGCGGCTTACTGATTATCCTCCATGTGAACTCATATCGACGTTGCCATGACTTCAATGCACCTCGCACTATGGAAAGCGTTCGCCCAAACTGTGCAACCCATTCAGACCACCCACATACACTTCAGACTTGAATCATCCTACCGCCCCAGAGGTACGCACCTCCATGTTCCTCCCACCCCCCACAATTTGACTGAGCCAATCCCAACCCATCGCGTTCCCTTTCATATGCTGTATAACGAAACAATGAGTCAAGGTTTAAGGGACCTAAAAAAGCTGAAAATCCGATCATGGACTCGGTATCGTGTGACTGTATGTACGATTGCAAGTACCATTTGCATTGGCGGGAGAGCCTATGGTGAGCTGAGGCTGGTAGTGACTAGATCCTAACAGATTGTCGACTCACTGCTGCTAGTACTGTGCCATTTGCTCATGTCCTGGACGCCGCCACTTGGTGACCATTGGGTGGCAGTTGGGTTACGCCCATCTCACTGCTAAGACCCAGGACACCAATCCACATTAGTCAGTTAAATGACCATGGGCTAGACACGCTGCCTTTCACGTGTACTTTCAATCAAAGGCTTGGCTGGCCGGTGGCCGAGTGGACTGCACGCTTGATTTTCAACCATAAGGTCGCCGGTTCGAATTCGCGTAGGGGTGGGCGTCCTCGCGGTATACTCAGCCCGCGCGCGACTGGTGATGGTCGCGCGCAGCTAAGCGCCGTTACGGCGTACAGCTGACGCATTATTATTATTTATTATTTGGTTGGGGACCCGAGTCGTTCTCCTGCGTGGTGTGGGCGCCATGTCAGTATCCTAGTCCACCCTCATGGGAGGTTAGGAAGTGGTCGATGGCCCTCTTCCAGTAAAACCTAGCCATGGGGAGACAACAGTTTTATGGGTTCCAAGCTCACCGCTCGATTGGCGTAGAGCACGAGCGCCACGCAATGTTTCTGACGGTGCGAGGGCACCTCCGGGTGTTCAGTGGTTTGCTACTGTCCGCCACAAACGAGGCAACCCCTGGTCGAATTGGAGCAAACCCGCCAAAACCCAACTACGTCTGGCCGTGGTCGCAGGTGCGTATGCTACTACGGTCGCAAAACTATATTAATCGTTGCAGTACCTCAAAGGCTGCGTGTGACGGATCCCAAGCAGATCCCAATCTGTCTCTGCGATCATATACCCGAGTTGGATCTGCTCCTCACTGCCTTGCGGGTCTGGCTATTGAGCCAAAGGCTCCGGGTGGTGTCCCTCAAGCAAACCTCCGAAGCACAACCGCCACATCGCGTGCGATTGCCCACCAATGCAATCGTATGCTTGCGCGCAAAGCACTCAGCATCGGGTGCTGGAACGTGCGCACACTACTGGACCGGAACTCCAGCGAGCGCCCGGAGCGACGCACTGCACTGGTCGCGATGGAACTGGCACGCTACCACATCGATATTGCGGTGCTCAGTAAAACTGGGCTTGCTGAGCAAGGTAAGTTGCATGAAGCAGGTGCTGACTACACATTCTACTGGGTGGGGAAAGCCGCCTCAGCACCACGTGAACATGGGGTCGGATTTGCAATATCCGATCGCCTCCATGGCCAGCTGGTTGATGAACCAACAGGCAGCAGCGCGCGACCGATGACTGTTTGTCTACAACTCGGAAGAGATAAGTTTGCCACCTTTGTAAGCATGTACCGTCAGACCATGTGTTATCCCGATGACGCGCGTGATCAATTCTATACTCAGCTGTCCTCCGTGATACGGCCTGTGCCGAGGATAGACCGACTACTTCTGCTGGGTGATTACAACGCGCTCGTTGGGCGTGAAGCATCGGTGTGGACAGATGTTATCGGTCCGCATGACATTGGTTCAGCGAATGCGAACGGTGACAGGCTGCTCTCACTGTGTGCCGCTCACCACCTGACGATCACGAACACTCGGTTTGCACTGAGTGCGAGTGATATAGCAACTTGGACACACCCACGGAGTGGTCACGCGCACCTTCTTGACTATGTTATCGTACGTCAGCGTGATATGCGTGAAGTGCGCATGACACGTGTACTGCGTGGAGCTGAGTGTGGCACTGATCACAAGTTGGTACGGACCAAACTGTACATATATTTTCGTAAACCTATGTAGTGCACTGCCGCCGTGAATCGGTGTAAACTTAACATTCTCTCCCTCGGTATTGTGGTGAAACGTATTGAGCTGGAGAAGGCGATGGCTGCAGGTCTGTGTATTGTGGAATGTATAGCCACAGTGGGCGACCTGTGGCACCACATTCGTGGCCAGGTGACAGCTGCTGCCGAGGAGATCAGCGGGCGCGCAAACTGCAAGCGGTCTGATTGGTTTGCTGAGAACAATGCGACGATTGGCGCATTGGTGTCAGAGAAGAATGCAGCATTTGCTGCACATGTGGCAGACGCCAGGGACTTGGGGAAGAAGAGTCAGTTTCGCAAACTTCGACGGCGACTGACCCGAGAGCTCCGTCGCATTAAAAATGCATGGTGGACGGAGAAGGCGAAGCAGATGGAGTGCTACGCCGAACGCCGTCAACACAAGGAATTCTTTGACTCCTTGAAGGCTGTGTATGGACCGAGATTTGAGACACTGAGGGCGCTGATCGATGGTTGCTCCGGCGCTACCTGCACACAGACTGCAGATATAATGCAGATATGGCGGAAACACTTTGACTGTCTCTTGAACAACCGTTCCGAGATCGGATCGAGTAAATTGAACGGCCTGAAGCAGCACGATGTAAAGACTAGTCTGGCGGACCGGCCAACGCTGGATGAGACGCAGAGAGCACTTGCTCAGCTGCGAAACGGCAAGTGTGCCAGTGCTGACGGGATCCCGCCTGAATTATTGAAACACGGCGGACCGGCGTTGGTGGCTGCGCTGCACCACTTGGTGCAACGCGTGTGGATTGAGGAGGAGGTGCCTCCTGAGCTGAAGGATGCCCTTGTGCTACCACTGTACATGGGCAAAGGTAGCAAGCAATGTTGCACGAATTATCGTGACATCAACTTGCTGAATTGTGTGGGCAAGGTGATTGTCCGAATGCTGCTCAACTGCCTCGTCAGTCAGGTTGTGGAACCGAACGTGGCGGAAGAGCAGTGTAGATTCCGTTCGGGTCGCAGCACTATAGATATGGTGTTTGCGGCTCATTAGTTGCAAGAAAAGTGCAGAGAACGACACCAGCCGTTGTACTCGCTTTTTGTTTATTTCACCAAGGCATTTGATACGGTGAACTGCGAGGCATTGTGGCTGATGTTGGGTAAGTCTGGTTGCTCGCGTAAGTTTTTAGTTTTGATTGAATGTCTGCAAAGTGGTATGCGAGCGAGGGTGCAGCTGAGTGGAGAGACCTCGGATGACATGCAGTTGTCTCTGGTGTGAAGCAAGGCTGTGTCTTAGCTCCTGCCCTGTTTAATGTATATCTTCATGTAATGTTGTTCTGTGCTTTTGATGCCGCTTGTTCTTACGGTGTTCTTGTGAAACACCGTATTGATGGTGGGTCGCTGAACATCCGTCGTTTCGGTGCGAGAATTCTAGTCTGTGAGACAACTATCCATATGTTGCTGTTTGCTGACGATTGTGCGTTGTTTGCACACAGCGCAGAGGAGTTGCGACGTATGACTAGTGCTGTGGATTCTACAGCGGCCGAATTCGGGCTCACCATAAACACAAGCAAAACTGTCTGTCTCTTTCAGCCTTCACCGGAGATGCAATCTTCAATATTGCCGCGAATCAGCATTGGTGCTGAAGTAATGGAAAGCGTCTGCCGCTTCAGCTACCTTGGGAGTGTAATATCGACTGACCAGCAGCTACACAGTGAGCTGCGTTTTCGCGTGTCGAAGGCAGCGCCGGCATTCTTGAAGCTAGAGTACTGAGTGTGGAACAGCCATCAGCTTATCATTGGCACGAAGCTAATGGCGTACAAATCCATGGTGCTGTCCGTTCTCCTATACGACTGAAACGTGGACGGTGTACCGTCGGGATGTGCGATATCTCGAGTGGTTCCATCAACAGTGCTTGCGACGGATTCTGCGCATCGGATGGGGCGACAGATTCGCAGACACGGAAGTGTTGCTTTAAAGTGTAGTGTATGCAGTGGACTGCATACTTTTGCTGAGGCATCTGAGTTGGCTTGGTCATGTGAGCCGTATGGATTCGACGCGGATATCGAAACAACTGTTATGTGGTCAGCTGAGTATTGGGAAGCGGCGTGCGGGGAAACCAATGTTACCTTACCAGGACATGACCAAAGTGAGCTTCTCATTTCTAACCTTGATTGCAGGTCATGGGAATCGAAGGCGGTTGATCGGCGTGCATGGCGCCATCTAATCACGAAGGCAGTTGCGGAACTGCGGGAGAAAGCCCTCATGCATGCAGAGAAGAAGCGGCAAGTGCGGAAGCGGCAAGCAACAATGAGTTGTACTTCATGGGCATCGAGCGTATGGTGCTGTAGCACATGCGGTCGCGAGTGCCTTAGTCAGGCAGGCTAAGTGAGCCATGAGCGAGGCCACTCGAGACCATCAGCTAAGCGCGAACGAGTCCTGCAGAGAAGGTAGG